ATCAAGAAAAAACAGACAAACATCAGAAGATTGAGTGCCAACAAAGTTATAGATGTATTGGAGTTGATTCATATAGATATTTATAGATCATTCCCTACGTCTTCTTGGAATGGTCAATAATACTTCATAACATTCATAGACGACTATTTGAGATGTAACTACATTTATCTCATTCATGAGAAATCACAGTCCTTTGATGTACTCAAAAGTTTTAAGACGAAAGTTAAGAACCAACTCAACAAAAGAATTAAGGTTGTTAAATCTTATCGTGGTGGTGAATACTATGATAGATATGACGAATCGGGTGAACAACGTCCAGGATTGTTTGCTAGATTCCTAGAGGAATATGGTATCATCCCACAGACACCATGCTGAGTTTGCCTAGCATGAATGATGTTGCTGAAAGACGAAACAGAACACTTAAGGATTAGTGAGGAGTATGATTAGTCATTCTACCTTGCCTGAATCACTCTACAGAGAAGCATTAAAAATTGTAACATATTTACTCAACAGAGTTCAAACTAAAGCAACTACAAACATGTTGTATGAGTTTTAGATAAGTAAGATGTCTAGTTTGAGATAATTGCACATTTGGGCCTGTCCAACTGAAGCTAGGCCTTATAGGCCACACGAAAAGAAACTAAATTTTAGAACTATAACTTATTATTTTGTGGGCTATTTTGAAAGATTTAGAGATTATAAGTCTTATGATCCTGTTACTAAGACAATTTTTTAGACAAAAATGCCCAGTTCTTTGAAGATATGAGTTTGCAAGGGGAAAGAGAGTTCGGGACCTTATATTTGAAGATGAATTTATTAATATTCCCTCAGTTGTTTTTGACAATGATCAGGATCAGGTTTTCATACCTTGCATTACTTAAGAAACAAATCTAGATCAAGACAATATCACAATACCTCCCATTCATACTCAAGAAATTATTCTAGAATAACAAACTTCACACTCTCAATAATTAATGCCATAAGAAGATCCATTAGAGAGATGATAAGTGTAATTCCAAATGATTATATTGTATTTCTTCAAGAACATGAGCTCATATTGAAATGATGGAAGATGATTCAATCAACTTTCGAAAAGCTATAGAAAGTTTTAACTCTCAGAAGTGAATTGATGTCATGATTGAAAATATTGAGTTCATAAAGGACAATGACATTTGGGATCTTATCCTATTACTTGAAAGTGCAAAACTTGTTGGTTACAAATAGATTTTTAAGACTAAGATGCATTCAAATAGCGATATAGAAAGGTATAAGACACATCTTGTTGCTAAAGGTTTTATACAAAAAGAAGACATTGATTATAAAAAGGCTTTCTCTTTAGTTTCATCGAAAGACTCTTTTAGAACTATAATGGCTTTAATGATATATTTTAATCTTGAGTTACATAAGATGAATATTAAGATAACATTTCTTAATAGTTACATTGATGAGATGATTTATATGGTGCAGTCAGAAAATTTCGTATCGGGCGATGCGAAGCAAATGATTTGCAAACTAAAGAAATTAATCTATGGACTTAAGCAAGCTTCTCGTCAATGATATCATAAATTTCATCAAGTTATCATCTCGTTTGACTTTGAGATGAATGTAGTAGAAGATTGTGTATACCAAAAGTTCAGTGGGAGTAAGTATAGTTTTATGGTTTTATATGTCGATGATATACTGCTTGCCAGCAGTAATATATGCTTATTACATGAAACTAAGAGATTTCTGATAAAGAAATTTCATATGAAAGATCTTGGGGACTCTTATTTCGTATTAGGGATTTAGATACATCGGGATTACTCTTGGGATATTCTTGGATTATCATAAAAGAGTTATATTGAAAAAAATTCTTAAGATATTTGATATGTAGGATTGTAAACCAGGTAACACCCATGTGTCTAAAGGAGATAGGTTTGCTTTTAGTCAATGCTCCAATAATGACTTTGAGACTAAAAAGATACAAAAATTCCTTATACTTCAACTATAGGAAGTCTTATCTATACATAGGTTTGTACGCATCCGGATATTATGTACACTGTTAGAATGTTATGGAGATATTTAAACAATCCAGGTATGGATTATTGGAAAGCAACCAAACGCGTTATGCACTATTTTCATATAACAAAAGATTACATGCTCACATACAGGAGATTAGATCAGTTGCAGGTCATTGGTTATTTTAATTCTGATTTCGCTGGATGCCAAGACAGTAGGAAGTCCATATCAAGCTATATCTTCTTGCCTGTTAGGGGAGCCATCTCTTGAAATAGTGTTAAGTAAACACTTATAACCTCTTCCACCATAGCAACAGAGTTTATAGCATGTTATGAGGTGTCTAATCATAGAACATGATTGTGAAATTTTGTGACTGGGCTGCGCATTGTTGATGGCATAAAAAGACCGTTAAAGTTATTTTGTGATAATAAATCTACAATTATGTATTCTAATAACAACAGAAGCTCAACAGAATAAAAATATATAGATATCAAGTTTTTAGTTGTCAAAGAGAGAATTCAGAGTAAACATATATCAATAGAACACATCAGGACAAACTCCATGGATGCAGATCCGCTCACAAAAGGATTATAATCTAAGGTCTTTTATAAGTACATTACTCGTATGGGTGTAGTACATTTTGATGATGTACAATTTCAGTGGAAATTTCATACAATAGTTGTTTTTACAATACAGACATGTCATAAGTTTTACATTTTAGATTTGGTTTATGGATTTTATAATTAATTTCAGTTATAATATTTTTGTTTTTGTTTATATTTTATCTTTGAGTTTTTTTATAGTTGATCTCAGTAAAGTTAAAGTAGGACTAGTTGGAAATAGATATACTTGGATCACATTGCATATAATTTCCATGCTACACATCTATGCTTGATCTCATTAAATTATATTGATATACGTGACAACTGATGGGTTTAATTACGACAAATGTAGTAAAGACTGTTTTGATCCTATATTGATATGATTGGTGGACGAGATTGTTTAGGGATGCATTCAAGTAATGATAGCAAAATTTTGAGTACTCTTAAGGTTATTTAATGCATAATTATGAGGTAACAAATATAGCTTAAGTGGAAGATTATTGGGTTTTAAATTTACTATATGGGTCTATATGTATAAATTACTATACATGAAAAACTTTCAGATTAATTGGATCTAGTTAGAAGTGATCTGATACTATTAAGAGTATATTATGCCGTAATATATCAAATTAAAGTGTGAACTTTATTTTATATGTAGAGATCAAATCTGTAATTATTAATTTTGTGATGGATCAATTTAGAAGTATAACAAATTTATAGGTAGGGTTTGCCAATAAATAAGCAGTTATAGTCCTCAAAGTATATATTAGATTTTTGTATTCTGATATCTCATTACCAGAAATAGAGAGAGTGTGAGAACTCAAAATGTTTCGTGCTAATTCAGAAAATCTACTGTAAGATGTGCAAATTTCTTTCATTATGGATTCATGTACGTTTCCATATTTATCCTCTTTGATTAAGTACGAGATTTATTTATGGTTTTATTTTTAGATCTAGTTTAATTTAATTTTAACAAGAACTTTCCAAAAGTTTGTGCAAATTTTTCTTACAATATCTCAAAAAACAAAGATGAAAAATTTACAGCTTTATCTCTCCAAGAGTACATTTACAATTGAAAAAACTCATTTGGGATTCAATAGAGGCTTAAGAGAATGAAAAATATCATTTCTTTCAATATTCACATTTATGCTCAAGGTCTGCCACTTTAAAATCTGTTGGAGGTATGTTTTTGTAAGTAGGAAGGTAAAAAAGAGAATGTTGTTAGAGACAATTGAATTTGGTTTGGCCTTCGAAAAGCTATAGAATTTTGTTCATAATTTTTAAGAAATTTTATATAATGTATTTTGAAAAATATCTTAACACAGACAACTTGTCTTTAAAATGAAAGTCAATTTCTACAAGCGAGTTTTATCGTAACATTGTTTTTTTTACTACACTATTACTTTTGGCTCAGAATCTGAAATTTTTTTTTAATATATATATATATATATATATATAACGTTTAAAAAGATGTTTTAACTTGAAAATCAATTTGCTATTCTTTTTTATTAAAGTTATTATATTTTCAAATATATATATTTTTGCTGACAAAGAGGAATTTGCGAGGGGGAAGCAAATTTTGAAGAAAATGTGTAATATGGGTTCTATTTTACATACATACATACATACGTACATATATATATATATATATATATATAAAGAGAGAGATATTTTTGTGCGTGCTTTAAATTGGTTAAATATAAAATATGCTACAATTTTAGAAGACATGTAAAATTTAAATATTTCTGACATAAAGTTTGAGGGCGAGAAGAGTGATGATGAATCTGCCAGCTACTCATCAACTTTCTTATCCATTGGGAGATTTTTATTAAACATTTTTGAAAAAATAAATAGTTTTATTTATTCCGAATAATTTTTAATTACTGTACTTATTAAATTTATGTCTCATTAAACAATAATGAGTTGAAACTAATACTTATATTAATAAAAAAAAAAAATAATGTAAATTTTTAAAATAATTTGATAGAGAAATTTAATATTCCTTAAATAATTAAAAATACAATTTTTATACTATAACCAATTAAATAATATCACTATGTTTATTAATTACTTCTATAATTAATACTGACTTTTGGCTTTCAGAGCATCTTTAGGAGCTTACAGCACAAGATGCCCCAATCAATTGATACGTCATAAAAGCCATTTTGGCCTTTTGAGACATCACCAACAACAGAAACCAAAGTCTCGTTTGATTTCATAAAAAATGGAGATGGTGATGACTCAAAATCACCCCAACAATCTCTCAACACACTTTTCCCATTAGGTTGGGATGTCCTCATCATAAGAATCTCCATTTAACATCTTTCATTCCAGATGCCACTGCAAGGATATGCTTTAAAACCAAGTAATACACTAAAGAATACCATACACTGCTCCGCGGAGAACTGAATATCAACTTCATTTGTCTGTCTGTTTAGCAGTACATGTGTATCATCTACTAACAAATCATTGGTTATAATCCGGTGTTCATTCGGATATGTGAATTTTCATTTCAGAACTAGGGATTACGATACACACCTAGCATAGCTTAGAAACTCACATTACACCAATCACAACTTAGGTTGACTTTCACCTTTCTTTTGAGGCTACCAGACAGTTTCAGTACTTGGGTTTGTCAATGACTACTATTACTAAACACCAACAATTACATATCAAACAAAATGTTTTAGGCCAAGACTTATTTCTGCTCCTTCATGTTGAAGAGTCCGTTTCCACTTTTATCTTGTACAAGTTCTATAAAAAGATTTAAAAACAATAACTAGTCCTCGTCAAGATAAATTAAGGTACAATATGAAGGGAAATATCAAAATAGTATCAAGTTTATGTTATTTACCTTACAAAAACCATAGTCTGAAACTAGTTTGTGCACTGCAAATCACAAATTCGAATTTCTGATGCTACTTGATATGAATCCAAGTGGCACAAGTCACAACTCATGGCAGAAACACAATTCAAGCTCACATGGGAGCTGACATGAGAGCTCACAGCCACATGGAAGCTTATATGGAAGCTCACAGCTACATGGGGAATT